ACTGGAGATGAATACAATGTTGAAAGCATTGATGGTCAACCTGGTGCCTTCACCTGTTACTTGGATGCAGGGCTTGCCAGGACTACTACTGGGAATAAAGTTTTTGGGGCCCTGAAGGGAGCTGTCGATGGAGGCTTGTCTATCCCTCACAGGTAATAATAGTATTCAGGGCCTCGTTGCCTGGACTCCAGTACTGCACTGTTTCTAACTGGTTGGGCTGTGGAGATAACTGAACCAATTAGAGTAATAGTAGCTATCATTGTGTACCTGCCATGTGCTGGGTACTGTGCAAAGGGAACCTGGCAGGGTGGGAAGGAACTGTAACATGGTTTATAAATGAAGAGACTGGGGTTCCGGGGTAAAATTATTTGTCCAAGGTTTTAGAGCCAATAAAGGGAAGAGCCAGTGTTGAAACCACTACCTTTGTGTGTGGCTAAGTTTTGGTTAGAAATGAGCAACTTGATTCCACCAGTACTCCCCCTATTTTTTTTTTTGTTTGGTTAATTCAGAATGAAAATTTGTTTACTGAGTTATGGGGAAATATGGACTCTAGGGGGGAAAAAAGTTTGAGAAAAAGACATGAATTTTTAAACCTTCAACTGGAAATAAGAGTGTAGGCTGTCCTTTGCTATGAAATAAGGAGAACTATATAGTGGCCTTGGTTCATTTAATGGTATTTAAAGGTGCTTGTGGCATGATTTTCTATCCTGGAATTCAAAAATTAGCTGCTGAATGATGATGTCCCACTAACTGAGCAGTCAGTAGTTGGTCCTTTGGTTGCATATGATGCAATTAATTGTTTCAAGACGGGACTGATGGCAGCTACTGAAATGAATTCCTTCTAGGGAACTGATTTCAACCAATATATACTAAAACATGGAAAACTTTATTTCAGTACCAAACGGTTCCCTGGTTATGATTCAGAAAGCAAAGAATTCAATGCTGAGGTACACCGAAAGCACATCATGGGGCAGAACGTTGCAGATTATATGCGTTACCTGATTGAAGAAGATGAAGATGCTTACAAGAAACAATTCTCTCAATACATAAAGAACAACGTAACTCCAGACATGGTAAAAATTTAACTAAAAATACCTGTATTGGTAAATTTATAGAACCGGGTTTCCTACCTGTTTTGAGTGGGTATGTTAATACAGTTTTATTTCAGGTTAACAGTTAAAAGTTGAATATGGGCATGTTAAAATGAAATTGGGATGTTGGACCTAGGGTAGGTTAAAAGTCAGACAAGATACTGTTAGGAGGAGCTGGACTTGTCAACAAGCTTTTAGGAATCTTTTAGATGCTGAACGATGGCAGGCTTCAGGCATCCAGATCTAAAGCCTTTGGTGGCTTTTATGCATTTGGCTGTTCTGTATTTATAAATTTCATTCATGTGGTCATAATCTACTCCAATACGAGGTGCTAGTTACTAGACTTCACTCATTTTGAGGTCATGGGGAAAAAGGTTCTTTCTTCATTCTTAGCCGATAAGTGCTATGTTCTGGACTTTCTCAGTGTCTCAGGCATGCACACAAAAAGGGAGATGTACAGATTCTATCACTAGTTCTGTGTGATGTTGCAAAAGTGAAGGGACCCGTGTTTTCAAAAGTCAGTTTAATGTTGCAAAGTTTATCACCCCTAAAGTGGAGTCTCAGGGCGCTCTCTATTAATACGTTGGGGTAATTGATGATGACAGTGCGAGTTTCGATAGTGAAGGCATAGAACACAAAAATCACAGATTATTATAAACGTATTACAAATACAGAATTATATGTAAATTGATATATAGCAAGTAATTGTTTTTATTAGGTTTTTTCTGTTGCTGCATATTTTGTATTTGGCATACCTATGTCTGAAAATTATTTTTAAAATAGAGTTATAATTGAGGGAAAGATCACTTTCTGTTTTTGCATTATTTTCCTTTGCTAATGAGCTTTATACAAATGCATGTAGTAATTGCATTTTAAAAAATTTATTTTTGGCTGCGTTGGGTCTTTGTAGCTGCACACGGGCTTTCTCTAGTTGCGGAGAGCGGGGGCTACTCTTCCTTGTGGTGTGCATGCTTCTCATTGCGGTGGCTTCTCGTTGCGGAGCACGGGCTCTAGGCGTATGGGCTTCAGTAGGCGTATGTGGCTCGTGGGCTCTAGAGCACAGGCTCCGTAGTTGTGGCACACGGGCTTAGTTGCTCCACGGCATGTGGGATCTTCCCAGACCAGGGCTCGAACCCGTGTCCCCTGCATTGGCAGGTGGATTCTTAACCACTGCGCCACCAGGGAAGCCCAGTAATTGCATTTTACTCACATGGAATGAGTAGTTTTAGAGACCTGGATTACCTTGACTCATTCTTCAGGAAGGCTGTAATTGTTACTGAATTTCACACATTTTACAGTTTCTCTTCCTGACTTGATCTTCCATGTGATCAGTAGTCATTTGGGTTGGGGGTATTAAAACACTTCAGAGAGTTGCAGCATTGTTTTTTGTTGAATTTTAGAACAAAATTCTCATTAATGTTTCTAATTGGACAGCGGTTTTCTAGGGAAATTTGGGCCTCTTTCTGATTCCACAGGGGCCTGATACTGCTGCCAGATACTGGTGATTTGTGGTAGTAGATCAAGAGCTTCCTGGTGTGGGATCCTGGGAGTAACTTTTGAAAAGACCTATCAGAAATCAGTGGGAAATAGACATATGGGGAACGTGGGAGGACAGAGCTGTATTTGGCAGTTGCTTGTTAGCCCGTATATTTTTCATCTTGACATCTTAAATGCTGGCATGTATCCATACTTGAATGAAAGAATTTAGGTCAGATGGTTTTAAATGAGCATAAGACGTGTTTCTACAGAAAACAGTCTGCTTTAAACTTGAGTGACTCATGAAGTATAGCTGAATTATTTAGAAATACATGCGAATTTTTCTTGAGGAAGATTGTTATGTTTTGTGAACAGTGTCAATTCATGTTGCTTATGGTAAAAACTGGGACTTTCTTAGGAAAAGATGGGTTACAAAAAGATACCAATATTGACCTAGTTTAGCTCCTTTTGAGAATCTGGCTTAGAAGGACAAAATAGAGCAAGCAGTAGAATAGTGTGTTTTATTACTGTTTAGGGCATATGAAATGAAACCAAGTACTGTTTGCTTTGCTTTGTTTCAGATGGAGGAGATGTATAAGAAGGCTCATGCTGCAATACGAGAGAATCCAGTGTATGAGAAGAAGCCTAAGAAAGAAGTTAAAAAGAAGAGGTATGTGTTTTACTGTTTTTTGAAGAGAAAGAGGTTGGGAGGGGTTCCTGCCTTGTTTCATCTCGCTCAGACTCTGAGTGAAGTTGTGCAAACTCGATCACTAGCTCTGCATGATGTTGCAGAGGTGAGGGGAACCAGGTTTGCTAAAGTAATTGTGGTGATAGAAATGTATTAGCCTTGGATGCTACCGAGGTGGCCCATTCTGTCCCAGTACATTGTAACTGTCAATTACTGCATTTTTTAATAGGCTAACTAAGGAAGAGAACAGGTATTGGACTTGGGATTATTTGACCTCCATTTTATTACAAAGGGTGTCTTTTTCAAAGTTAAATATTCTCTATTCTCTTTCGCTATGGTTTTTAAAATTTATGTCCCTTTCTCTTCTTTTTACCTTGTTCTGTAGGTGGAACCGTCCCAAAATGTCACTTGCCCAGAAGAAAGACCGGGTAGCTCAGAAGAAGGCAAGCTTCCTTAGAGCTCAGGAACGGGCTGCTGAGAGTTAATAAACCAAACCACAATTTCTATGAAGATTTTTCAGATAAAGACAGTAATAAACTTATTGAACAAGTAGCTGTTTCTGTGTTAAGCTCTTGTTAATGAAACTGTGGGAAGTACCTGAAATTGACAGTATTTTCCTTCCAGAAACAAGTGTAGCTTTTTCCAGAAAATCTTACGTATTGCCTCAAAGTCCATACCTTGGGCATCTGTTCTTCCTGACAGGAGTTATCCCTTGAATTGTATGATGTGCAGCTGTCCTCAAAAAGTCTGGCAAGCAACAGACAAACCTTCCCCTAGAAATATTTCTTCCATTCATTTATTGTAACCACATGATGAGTTGGAAGAAAAAGTACCTTCGAAGTTTACAATTTTAAAGTAAGTGAAACTGATGCTACTCCACGGCTTTAGTTCTTGAGAGATGATAGCTCTCCAATGAAGGTCATATAATTTTAACACATTTATCCAGGTGAAACCTTTGAGCAGAAAATACTGGTTCTTTTTAAATTTTATTTATTATTTATTTTTGTGGTACGCGGGCCTCTCACTGTTGTGGCCTCTCTCGTTGCGGAGCACAGGCTCCGGACGTGCAGGCTCAGCGGGCATGGCTCATGGGCCCAGCTGCTCTGCGGCATGTGGGATCTTCCCGGACCAGGGCACGAACCCGTGTCTCCTGCATCGGCAAGTGGACTCTCAACCACTGCGCCACCAGGGAAGCCCGAAAATACTGGTTCTTTAATTATAAGAAGAGGTGTTTCGTTTTATGGAGTTGAAAGGCCAGATCTGAATAAACACAAAAGAGAGGAGCAAATACTAACCCTTGTATATCAAGTTTACATGAGAAAGAGAGATGGATATATTTACATGCCTCTTGAGAAACAGTCCTTTGGCCAGTAGGGAATACTGTTTGTTTGAAAATGGAAAATTATTAATAGGAAGTTTATGATTTCAGAGTCCTGCTCTTAATGTCCCACTTTCCCATAGCTCAGATTCAGCATATGTGTACCTGTGTTAGGTCTGTGGCCTAAAGATACGAGTTTTGAAGACCAGTTGGCTGGCTGATGATACTAAGATACAGACCCTTAAATCTAGGATGATGAACTCATCCATATTCAGCCTCTAAAATTGGCAATTATATATTGCCAAGTAGAATGCTTCTGATGGGTTTTCAGTGGGTAAGAGCCAGTCAAAACTTTCTGAAGCCACATAAAATGTGATGTCTAAATGAGTAAAGTGTATTTATAAGAAACCATGCTATTAACCCAACATCTGTTTATAAAGGAGTAATTTTAATTTACCTGCTTTGCAGTCTTAATTTCTGTTAATGTGCAAACTTTACCATGCTGAGACATTAGTAAATTTATAAATTTTCTTTTAAACAGCAGCTTCAATGCAAACACAATTTCCAGCACTGATACTTTGGCTAACAAATCTACAAAATACTCTGACCGTTGATGTTTATGGAATGAGGCTTTTCACAGCATTATTTTAAGTCATTAGTCAAAATAGTTACACAGTGAATGTACTAGGAAATGTACCAGCGTTTCTAAAAGGGCAGGAATGAATATTTTTGATCCTATACCTCCTGCCATTACTTCAGCAATCAACATGTATTTTAAGATGATGGCTTCCTTAGGATCAGGGGAAAGGAGTTTTGTGATAACTGGCAAGGATTTGAATCAAGCCATTTAGAAAAAATGTTCAAGATTTTTCTTTTGAAGTGCTAAGTTTCTTAAAATGGTCACAATGTCCAAATGAACTAAGAGTCGTTTGTGTAGGAAATTTTCTTCCACAGTAATGTTTTTAGGTTATTTAGTATCAAAGAATGTTCCATTTCCATTTGATTTGCTGTGACTTTGAGAGCAATACAGGAATACAGCTGCTTTTCTAATTCTTCACGAATTTCAATTGGAGCACCACGCAACAGGTAGTCTTTGAGTAACTGACAGGCTTTTGCCAAGTTTGGTTGGATCACTTCTGAGGTACACTTCATTGTACTCTGATCACAGCTAGTTCGACAATCCGTGCCATAGACACAGTCCAGATCAGACTCACAGTGACGATCCTTTATAAGTTCTTTCAGGTTTGTCTCTGGCACAATTTTTCTCATGTCCACCATTTTCAAATCATACTTATCATTATATCCTAGGTTTTTGGCACTAGTATCGCACATGAGGAAGTTTCCATAGGGGCCATGGAAAACATCTTCCACAAATTCTAGAAGTCCTATGGCTATTTTAGCCTTTCTAGGCCATGATGGTGTGAACAACTGATCCATGCTTCTTCTGAACCCAGATGGAATAAAAAGTTCAATGACCCATGGAAGGCTTATTCCATAAAGAGAGGTATATTCCACACTTTCCATCACATAGAGATCACCACAGAATCCCATTAATTTGGGGGTATGTTCTTTATCTTGAAGTATTACCATGAGAAGAAATTCATTTAATTGAAGAAGTGCCCATGCTGACTTTGCTTCTCCCAAGGAAACCTGGCCATCTTTGTCTCCATCAGCCACTGTCAAGATGAGATTAACCAGTTCAGAGAGGTTGCCTTGGTCACCCAACTTTGCCTGTAAAGATAAGAATTTGGCTAATTATACAGAAGCAATGAAAAACAAGAATCTCATATGTAACATACTAACTTCCTTTACAGGGATAATTACCATGCTAAGTAATAATCTTGCTACTGAATACCCATAGGAGACTTAATACCTTTACAAATATTTATGTTTGCTAAGTGAGTCAGAACTATGTTTTATGTACTTGAGGTGAAACCCACTTTGCTAAGTATGTTAAGAAATAGCCACCTTAACGCCCATAGCCTCCTTAGACCTTGTAGATAAATAGTTAACCAAGCCATTAATTAATCTTTGTCTTATTCATACACTTACTTGCAAAATTGCAGTGTAATTTGCCCATATCCAAAGTTAACAGGTCAACTACAAATTATTTTCTCCTATTTTGTAACTGTTATTATATTATTTTATTCAAGGTGTTCCAATAATGAATGCTACAAGTATTTCCCTGTGGAGACTCTAGCATAAAACAGTCTAAAACTGTAAACTGTTCAAAGAAAAGAAAGATTTTGAGTTATAAGAGCAATAAAAATGAGAAAAAGATTCTTTCCAGAAGTGTAATTATTTTCATTGTTTTTTGGCCGTGCCACGTGGCTTGCGAAAGTTCCCCGACCAGTTCTCGAACCCGCACCCTTGGCAGTGAAAGTGCGGAGTCCTAACCACTGGACCCAGGGAATTCCCAATATTTTCATACTTCTATTTAATCTCTGAGTATTTCTTTAAATTAAAAAAATAATTCGCGGGCTTCCCTGGTGGCGCAGTGGTTGAGAGTCTGCCTGCCGATGCAGGGGACACAGGTTCGTGCCCCGGCCTGGGAAGATCCCACATGCCGCGGAGCGGCTGGGCCCGTGAGCCATGGCCGCTAGCCTGCGCGTCCAGAGCCTGTGCTCCGCAACGGGAGAGGCCACAACAGTGAGAGAGGCCCGTGTACCGCAAAAAAAAAAAAAAAATTGCAATCAGTCTACAAATTTTATTTCACTTTTTTAAAAAAAGTGTATCAGTTTTAATGTCAAGCTATAGAGCAGCCCAGCTACTTAATGAACTCACATCTGGACATTTTTAGCGATAGTAAGTAATGTTAAACACCCTCCATACATTTTTTTCTTTGAATTATTTCCTCAAGATAGAGTCCCTGATATAGGTCAAAGAATACCAACATTTTTATGGCTTAGAATGAGGTCCTGCCAGCTTCCAGAAGAGTACCACTTCACACTAGCAACATGTGAATGCATATACTTACTTTAAAGAGACTGTAGACCATTTCTTTGAATTTCTGTACAGTAGTTCCCCTAGTTGGCTTATCAAATAGCACTATTTCTTTCCTTGGTTCCAATTCAGTTCCAAAATCAAGATGAAGTGCTTGTTCCATTTGACATTTCACAACACCTGGTAGATTATCCCAAATCCCTAAATACATCTGTGAAAAGAATGACAAGTTATGCTTTAGGCAGAGTAGAAAACTCTAATCTACCACGATATTTTTAGTGTCCTCCTCTTAAAAAAACACAAAAGCAACAAAACCGAGATTGAGCTGACTTCCTGAATTGCAAATTTGAAATCATACTTCAAAGCTTTTTTCCTTAATTTTTTTAAATTATAAAAGTATCGCATACCTAAATATATATATATATATATATATTTGACCATGGTCATCAGTTTTATTATTTTCCATTTTTTAAATTGTAAAATATCAAAAATAGAAAATTTACCATCTTAACTATTTTTAACATACAGTTCAGTGGTATTAGATTCATGAGGCTGTGCTACCATCACCACCATCTGTCTCCAGAACTCTTTTCATTTTGTAAAATTGAAACTCTCTACTCCCTGTTCCCCTTCTTCCCCCAGCCCCCAGCTCATCACCAGTCCACTTTCTGTCTTTATGATTTTGACGACTCACTCTAAGTATCTCATATAAGTGGAATCATACAGAATCTGTCCTTTTGTGACTGGTTTATTTCATAAGGTCCTGAAGGTTTATCCACATTGTAGCATGTATCACAATTTCCTTCCTTTTTAAAGCTGAATACTATTACATTGTAGGAATATCCCACATTTTGCATTTCCTTTCATCCACTGATTGACACTTGGGTTGCTTCCATGTTTTAGCTATTGTGAATATTATGAACATGGATATACAAATATCTCTTCGAGATCCTGATTTCAATTCTTTTACATATATACCCAGAAGTGGAATTTCTGAATCATAGGGTCATGCTACTTTTAATTTTTTGAGGAGCTGCCAACCTGTTTTTCTCAGCGGCTACACCATTTTACATTCCCACCAACAGTGGGTTCCAGTTTTTCTGCCTTATTGCCAACACTTGTTATTTTCTTTTTTTTTTTCCAGAATAAACTCACAGAGTTTATTTTACTGAGCAATGCTTGTCCTGCGTTGTTTTACCACTTGTCAATATTTCACTCTCTATACAACCAGAAAATGATTCCAAGGACACGTAGCAATCCTTCCTTTCTGGTTTTTTTGATAGTAGCCATCCTGATGGGTGTGAGGTGGTATCTCACCGTGTGCTTTTTTTTTCTTAGTTCTCCGACCATGTATCGAACCCACGCGTCGGCAGTGAAAGTGCAAAGTCCTAACCACTGTACTGCCAAAAAATTCCCTAATTGTGGTTTTGATTTGCATTTCCCTAATGACCAGTGATGCTGAGCATCTTTTCATGCACTTATTGCACATTTGTATACCTTTTTCGAGAATGAATCCGGCTGTTTGTTTTTTTGTTGTTGAGTTTTAGGAGCCCTCTATATATTCTATATATTAATCCCTTATCAGATATATGATTTGCAAATATTTCCTCCCATTCTGTGAGCTTCTTTTTTATTCTACTGATATTGTCTTTTGATGCACAATATTTAAAAATTTTCATGAAGTACAATTTGTCTATTTTTTCTTTTGTTGCCTGTGGCTTTGGAGTCATATGCAAGAAATAATTGCCAAACCCAATGTCATGAAGCTTTTGCCCTATGTTTTCATCTAAGAGTTTTATTTATTTTTTATTTTTCAAAATATTTATTTATTTATCTGGTTGTGCCAGGTCTTAGTTGCGGTAGGAGGGCTCCTTAGTTGCAGCATGCATGTGGGATCTAGTTCCCTGACCAGGGATCGAACCCAGGCCCCCTGCATTGGGAGCACAGAGTCTTAACCACTGCGCCACCAGGGGAGTCCCTAAGAGTTTTATAGTTTTAGTTCTTACCATTAGATCTTTGATCCATTTTGACTTAAATTTTGAGAATGGTGTTAGGTAAGGGTCCACCTTCATTCTTTTGCATGTGTATATCCAGCTTTCCCAGTACCATCTGTTGAAAAGACAGTCCTTTTCCTATTGAATGGTCTTAGCACCCTTGTCAAAAATCATTTGAGGGACTTCCCTGGTGGTACAGTGGTTAAGAATCTGCCTGCCAATGCAGGGGACACGGGTTCGATCCCAGGTCCGGGAAGATCCCACATGCCGCGGAGCAACTAAGCTCACGAGCCACAACTACTGAGCCCATGTGCTGCAACTACTGAAGCCTGCATGCCTACAGCCCGAGCTCCGCAACAAGAGAAGCTACTGCAATGAGAAGCTCATGCACCGCAATGAAGAGTAGCCCCTACTCGCTGCAACTAGAAAAAGCTCGTGCGCAGCAACAAAGACCCAATGCAGCCAAAAAAAAAAAAGAATCATTTGACCATATATGTGAGGGCTCTCTGTTCTATTCCATTAGTCTATATATCCGTCCTTATTCCACTACCACATTGTTTGATTACTGCAGCTTTATAGTAAGATTTGAAATCAGGAAGTGAGTCCTCCAGCTTTCTGGTATTTTTTTCAGGATTGTTTTGGCTATTTAGGGTCCCTTGAGATTGCATACGAATTTCAGGACTTTTTCTATTTCTGCAAAAAGCTGTCTTTGGGATTTTGCTCAGGATTGCACTGAATCTTGATCACGCTGGGTAACATTAACATCTTAAAAATATTGTCTTCCAATCTATGAACATGGGATGTGATTACATTTGTTTATGTCTTTAATTTCTTTCAGCAATGTTTTGAAGTTTTCACTGTACAAGTCTTTCACCTCCTTGGTTAAGTTAATTCCTAAGTATTCTTTTTGATGCAATTATAAATGCAATGGTTTTCTTAATTTCTTTTCTGGATTGTTCATTGTTAGTGTATAGAAATGCAATTGATTTTTGTGTGTGGACTTTGAATTCATTTATTAGTTCTAATGATTTTTTTGTGGAATATTTAGGTTTTTCTACAAATAAGATCATATCCTCTGTCAACAGAGATAATTTTACTTTTTCCTTTCCCATTTGGATACCTTTTATTTCTTTGTTTAATTGATCTGGCCAGAACTTCCAGTACTATGTTGAATAGAAGTGGTGAAAGTGGGCATCCTTGCCTTGTTCTTAGATGAAAAGCTTTCAGTCTTTCACTATTGAGTATGATGTTAACTGTGGGTTTTTCACATAAGTGTTTTTAGTATGTTCCTAAATTCTATTCCTTCTATTCCTAGTTTGCTGTGTGTTTTTATCATGAATTTTGTCAAATGCCTTTTCTGCATCAATTGCGATGATCCTTTTTTTCTCCTTCATTCTGTTTATTTGGTGTATTACACTGCTCAATTTTCCTGTGTTGAACCAGGAAAAGTTAATAAGGATTAATGTGGGACTTCCCTGGTGGTCCAGTAGCCAGTGGTTGGGACTCCGAGCTTCCGCTGCAGGGGGCATGGATTTGATCCTTGTTTGGGGAACTAGGATCCTACATGCCTCATGGCGCAGCCAAAAAAAGAAGGACTGGTGCTAGCTCTTCTTTAAATGTTTGGTAGAATTTACCAGTGAAGCCCACACGTGCAGGGCTTTTCTTGTTGGGAGGCCTGATTACCAATTCAGTCTCCTTACTAGTTATAGGTCTATGCAGATTTTCTATTTCTTAGTAGGTTTTGTGTTTCTAGGAATTTGCCCATTTCATCTAGATTATCCAATTTGTTGGTGTACAATTGTTCACTGTACTCTCATATAATCTTTTTTATTTATGTAGAACTGATAGTAATGTCCCCGCTTCATTTCTGATTTTAGTTATTTGAGTCTTCTCTGTTTCTCAGTCCATCTAGCTAAAGGTTTGTCAAATTTTGTTGACCTTTTCAAAGAACCAACTTTTGGTTTCATTGATTTTCTTTATTATTATTTCTTTATTATTGTTTTTCTATTCTCTATTTCCTTTATCTCTGCTGTAATCCATAGTATTTCCTTCCTTCTGCTAGGTTTGGGTTTAGTTTGCTCTTCATTTTATAATTCCTTATGTTGTAAAGTTTGGTTGTTTATTTGAGATCTTTCATATTTCTAGTGTGTTTATAGATGTAAATATAATTTTTTAAAAGTCAAATTACACAGAAAGATAAAAGGAAAAGTTCTACACCCATTTCTCTAATTCCCAGAATTAGTCACTATTAATTATCTAGCTATTTATCAAACTAACATTATATGGTGCTTTACTCTGTGCTACAGTCTACTAATTTATCTTACTCCCTATAACAACCTTATGCAGTAGATACTATTATTATCCTGATTTAACTGATAGAGAAACTGAAGCAGAAAGAAGTGAAGCAGCATGATGAAGGGAATACAATAGTGGCAAAGCCAACATATTAACCCGGGCAGTCTAGTCATGCTTATATATAAAAACCAAATATGACCATATTAATTGGTAATAATATTAATCACTCCTCTGCGTCAAACCCTCTAATTCAATCAGAATAAAGTCCAAAGCCCTTTTCATTGTCTGCTAGGCTTCTTATGAGCTGGCCTGCTTCTCCAACCTGATCTTTATCACTTACTCCCTGGGTCTCTATATCCCATCTACATGTCTCTTCTCTATGTTCCTTGAACCTATCAGCATTATTCCTGTTTCATGACCTCCTTCACTTGCTGTTGGTTTTGCCTGGAATGCACTCTCACCGATCTTCATACGGCTGGTTCCTTCACATCATTCAAGTCTCAGCCCAGATGTCACTTTAGGGAGGCCTTCCCCAACCCCCTACCTAAAATAGATCCCTCTTCCATCACAGGTCACTCTCTAACCCATGACCCCATTTTATTTTCTTCACAGCCCTTACCAATGTCTGAAATTATCTTATACCTTTTTAAAATTTTTACTTATTTATTTATTTATCTACTGGCTGCGTTGGGTCTTTGTTGCTATGCGCGGGCTTTCTCTAGTTGCAGCGAGCAGGGGCTACTCTTCGTTGCAGTGCACTGGCTTCTCATTGCAGTGGCTTCTCTTGTTGCAGAGCATGGGCTCTAGGCACGCGGGCTTCAGTAGTTGTGACACGTGGGCTTCAGTAGTTGTGGCTCGTGGGCTCTAGAGTGCAGGCTCAGTAACTGTGGTGCACGGGCTTAGCTGCTCCGTGGCATGTGGGATCTTCCCGGACCAGGGATCAAACCCGTGTCCCCTGCATTGGCAGGCAGATTCCTAACCACTGCACCACGAGGAAGTCCTTGAAATGATCTTATTTCTTTATTGACTCTTTTATCATCTGTCCTCTTTCACATGAAACATAAGGCATATGAGGCCAGAGGCTTTGTCTGTCTTATTCCCCATGGTCTCTCCCAATGCCTTAAGCAGTACCTAGCACATAGTAGATACTCAAATATTGGACTTTATTTCAGAAATCCTCTTAAACATGGCTAGTAGTGTAGACTTAAAATCTATTTTAAATTTCTATAAGATGAATGAGTATTTATATTGGAAATTTAGAAATAATTTGAAGAAAAAAGATGAACATAAAAATCATGCAATATTCCACTGCCCAAGGATAACCAGTGTTGATTGTTTTTTCTTTATAAATTTATTTATTTATTTATTTTTGGCTGCATTGGGTCTTGGTTGCTACGTGCAGGTTTTCTCTAGTTGCAGCAAGTGGGGGCAACTCTTCGTTGCAGTGCAAACCTGCTCTGCAAGTTTCTTAACCTTGTGACCTCTCTTGCCTCAGTTTCTTTAACAATAAAATGGAAATAATGATAATACCTCTTTCATAGGGAGGTTGTGAGGATCAAAGAGAAATACATGAAAAGTTCTTAGAACAATGTTGACATATAGAAAACAATATAACAAACACCTGTGTACCTACTATCTTCACAACAGACCTTAACCTTTTGCCATATTTGCTTCATTTTTTAAAAATTTTATTTTATTTATTTATTTTTGGCTGTGCTGGGTCTTCATTGCTGCACGCGGGCTTTCTCTAGTTGCAGAGAGCAGGGGCTACTCTTCATTGTGGTGCGCGGGCTTCTTATTGCGGTGGCTTCTCTTGTTGCAGAGCATGGGCTCTAGGCATGCAGGCTTCAGTAGTTGTGGCACGTAGGCTCAGTAGTTGTGGCTCGCGGGCTCTAGAGTACAGTCTCAGTAGTTGTGGCACATGGGCTTAGCTGCTCCGCGGCATGCGGGATCTTCCCGGACCAGGGCTTGAACCCATGTCGCCTGCATTGGCAGGCGGATTCTTAACCACTGTGCCACTAGGGAAGTCCCTAGGAAGTGTTTTTTAAAAGATTTAAAAAGAAAGTGTTAGAAGGTTGATTGCACTTGCTTTTACCTTAGGATATCGTGCTACTTAAGGAATTGCTTAGAGATCTGTTCTAGAATCTATTAATAACTAGTGATGGAAGCTATCAAGTTATATCTTTCCAATGGATTTTAACTTTTTTAAAAAATAAATTTTATTTATTTATTTAGGCTGCATTGGGTCTTCATTGCTGCGCATGGGCTTTCTTTAGTTACAGCAAGCGGGGGCTACTCTTCGTTGTGGTGCGCGGGCTTCGCATTGTGGTGGCTTCTCTTGTTGCGGAGCACAGGCTCTAGGCGCGCGGGCTTCAGTAGTTGCGGCATGCGGGCTCAGTAGTTGTGGCTCATGGGCTCTAGAGCGCAGGCTCAGTAGTTGTAGTGCACAGGCTTAGTTGCTCCGCGGCATGTGGGATCTTCCTGGACCAGGGACCGAACCTGTGTCCCCTGCATTGGCAGGCGGATTCTTAACCACTGCGCCACCAGAGAAGTCCCGGTTTTGATGTTTTGTTGTATTTTCTTCTAGCACAATGGTGTCCTATTGTTTTAATTTATATTTCTTTGATGATAGTTGAGGTAGAACATTTTTTTCATTATGCTTATCAGCTATTTATAGTTCTTCTTTTGTGATTTAGCTCATCCTGTCCTCTGCCCATGCCTCTAGTTTAATTCTTCATTCAGGTATAAGCTCAAATTTTATCTTAGAAAGGTCCTCCCTGTTCACCTCTTCTAAAGCATATTTCTACCCTCACCATCCCCTACATTTTTCATCAACCCATCCTGTGTACAACCTATATAAAACACACTACGTTCTGTAATTTCCTTGCTTATTTATTTATCTATCAACTGTTTATGTTCCCCATCCCTCTGGAATAATGTGACTCACAGGAAAGTTATCTGTCTTAATCACCACTATTTTCCTAATAACTAAAACAGTGTCTGGAACATGCTGGGAATAGGGGATTTATAAACATCTGTTGGATGAGTGAATCAACGCATGCACAATTGAAGTATTTAAAATGTCCTAAAGTTCTAGTTCAAGAATGCTCTTAACAATGCTTTAATTTAGTTTAAGGTAAAATCAGAGAGCACCATAAATCTGGACTGTTTATTCATAATGTCCATACCTGATTGTTGGGCTTGGTCGATAAGCATTTTCCAAAGTAAAGAGTTTCTGTGACACAAAGGCTATTACATGCGGGCCCATCAATAACTCCAGTCTTGTACTTGTCACACTAAAAACCAGGAAATAGAAAAGTAGTTAACAGAAAAATGTTCTTAAGAAGAAACATATTAAAATATTTGCAAATTAAGCAATTGACAAAGGATTAATCTCCAAAATATACAAACAGCTCATGCAGCTCTATGTCAAAAAAAACAACAACCCAATCAAAAAATGGGCAGAAGATCTAAATAGACATTTCTCCAAAGAGGATATACAGATTGCCAACAAACGCATGAAAGAATGCTCAACATCATTAATCATCAGAGAACTGCAAATCAAAACTACAATGAGATGTCACCTCACACCAGTCAGAATGGCCAACATCAAAAAATCTACAAACAATAACTGCTGGAGAGGGTGTGGAGAAAAGGGAACCCTCTGGCACTGTTGGTGGGAATGTAAATTGATACAGCCACTATGGAGAACAGTATGGAGGTCGCTTAAAAAACTAAAAATGGAATTACCATACGATCCAGCAATCCCACTCCTGGGCACATATCCGGAGAAAACCATAATCTGAAAAGATACATGCACCCCAGTGTTCACTGTAGCACTGTTTACAATATCCAAGACATGGAAGCAACCTAAATGTCCATCGACAGAGGAATGAATAAAGAAGATATATATAATGGAATATTACTCAGCCATAAAAAATAATGAAATAATGCCATTTGCAGCAACATGGATGGACCTAGAGATTATCATACTAAGTGAAGTAAGTCAGAAAGAGAAAGACAAATGTCATATGATATCACTTACATGTGGAATCCAAAAAAAAGATACAAATGAACTTATTTATAGAACAGAAACAGTCTTACAGATATCAAAAACAAACTTATGGTTACCAAAGGGGACAGAGGGGGGAGGGATAAATCAGGAGCTTGGGATGAACACACACACACTACTATATATAAGATAGATAACCAACAAGGACATACTGTATATAGCACAGGGAACTCTACTCAGTATTCTGTGATAACCTTTAAGAGAAAACAATCTAAAAAAGAATATATGTATATGTATAACTGAATCACTTTGCTGTACACCTGAAACTAACACATTGTAAATCAACTATACACCAAGAAAATTAAAATTTAAAAAAGAAAAAACATATTAAAGACACCATAAAGAGATATCTATATTCTTTAAGAGAAAGTCCTATGATGAAAAGAATTCAGGCTTTGGATCAGGACAGACTTGGATTTGAATACAAGCTCTGCTCCTTACTAGCTATATAATGATGAGAGATCTTGTTGTGACTAGGGTATGCATAGAATTTTGAAACTGTTTTTCCCACTTAGCGTGGCCTGAGGTACCCACTCTCTGTGAGAAGGTAGGCATTCAATTTTTAAAAACGGCTCAATTTTAAAATAAAAAATAAAGTTTTAAATACCAAAATATTTTAAAATAACAAAATTAAGTCACGTCTGTCATCTTGTCATCTTTGATATTGCCCCCAAAAAAGAAAAAGATGGGAATTCCCTGGCAGTCCAGCAGTTAGGACTCTTAGCTCTCACTGCCGAGGGCCCGGGTTCAATCCCTGGTCAAGGAACTACGATCCTACAAGCCATGTGGCACAGCCGAAAAAAAAAAAGGAAACCAAACGCTTTGACAAAATAAGGTACCAGTGTAACCCTAAGGCACAATAAATGAGGATGGCCTGCAAAATACAGTGAAAATTACAGCAGAGTACAGAAGGATGCTGAGATTAAATACCTGCTGTGACCTCACTTCTCAGACAAAGTTGGCGGAGCACTAAATAGGTGGTACACCAGAGGAACAGAACCGTCACTCTGGTTTGCAATGAAAGTTTAAGGGGCACAAGCTGTGGGAACTTCCAAGGACTCTATTTGGCATTGTAAAGTAGCGGGGCAAGGCAGTGCTGATTGATAAAATCCTTAAAAATGTTATCTATGTTGGAGGCAGTCTGTAAATAAACTAAGCATTGGGAGAGACTATATTATGAGCATCTCTGTAGTTGCTGGGGAGATAGACAGGCTAAACCAATCTGTGTGAGTGTCTCCATCTCATCTTTTTTTCTCTTTTACCCCCCCGCACACACACACACGCACACTAACTCTGGGCCACAGAAGTTTCACCACTTGCTCATTTCACTGTCCCAGTTGCTTCTTGCAAATAGTGGTTGAAGAACTCCTTTCATTCAGTAATGAGTAATACTCAAAAGAAAACAAGCAGGAGATCTATACAGCAAATGTACAAGGAAAAGGAGGAAAGGAATAGGAAAAGGACATGTCAAATAAAGAAATTTTCCAGAAAAATACTGCCATGAAGCACACCAAACATACTGTTATGAATTCAAAGGACTTAATGAAACAGTTTAAAATAATGTCTCAAAGCAGAAGACATAATGAGAGACAAAAGAAGTAAATGTAAAATAAGCAAGCAGAACTCAAAAATTAAGAAAAAGAAAAAAATCGAAGAAATTAAAGTCACATTATGAATGGGGAAAAAGGGGGGGCAGACAAAAATAACAACATAGTAAGACTTATGAGGGCTAGGTTGAAAAAGTGAGCAAAATGAAATGGAAATTTAAAAAGAACTAAAAAGAATTTGAGATAAAATTATAGATATAGAAGACAAAGGATATCCAGCATGTCCACAGGAGGGAGAATAGAACACATAGAAAAAAAAAATAATCAAAGTAGAATTCAAGAGAACTTCATGTAAGTGAGAGAAGTCTTTAATCTACAGATTGAAAGGATACACACTGTCCCAAGGAAACTGACACAGAATGACCCCTGTGACATATCCCATTGAATTTTACTGGACTTCAAAAATAAATAATTCTTTGAACATCCAGGCAAAAAGATCAAGACACTTTTAAGGGGAAATAAATCAGATTGGCCTCAGATTTCTCCATAGCCACATTCAAAGGTAGATAACAGTGGTGCAATGCCAGCAAAGTCTGAGAAAGGAAGTGTGACCTGCCTGTGTCCTAATTTTCTCATTTGTAAAAGGGGATGTACCTACTACTTGATTTATAGCATTATTATGAGCTATAATGGTTTAATGAGGATAGATCACCTGTGATTTCAATAAGTGCTCAAAATAGCTCTTCTTATTCTCCATAGCCAAACTTTCTTTCAAGTAAAAGGTGTTAAATGTTTTTGAACATGTAAGGATCAGAAGATAGAATTCCCATTAGCAACTCTTGAAGAACTATTAGAGAATGAATTTTAGGCAACCAAGAGATGAACAGAGAAACTGAACATGTAAGCCAGTTGAAATGTAGGACTGGGATGAAAACAACTGTGGAAATCTATTTCATAATAATTGTTAATATAGTATATGGTAGTTACTAGATACTTACCATGTGTCAGGCACTGTTCCAGTGCTGTACTTTTATTATGACAATAGCCCTGTGAGGTAGAACCTATTGTTATAGCCATTGTAAAAATAAGGAAACAGAAATAGCTATTAAGTAACTTGCTCAAGCTACAAAATGATAAAGCCAAGATTCCAACCTAGGCAGTCTGGTTCCAGAGCTCCTTCTCTTAATTACTACTGTATATTGTTCAGAATGTTAATATTATAAATTATACCAGTAAAACTAATAAAATTAACAAGAACCAAGAAGGAGAGATGCAAGATGAGAGATGGCAAAAGGATGTTGATTTCCTTACCTTTATTATTTTTTAAATGTTTATTTTATTTATTTATCCTCCCGCCCCCTCTTTTTTGGTTGAGTCGGGTCTTAGTTGAGGCACATGGAATCTTTGTTGAGGCATGCAGGATCTTTTCGTCACAGCACGTGGTCTGCTCGGGTTTCTCTCTAGTTGCGGTGTCCGGCTTCTCTCTAGTTGTGGCACGCGGGTTCCAGAGCACATGGGCTCGGTAGTCTGTGGCATGGGGTCTCTCTCGTTGAGGCACACGAGCTCAGTAGTTGTGGCATGTGGGCTTAGTTGCCTGTGGCATGTGGGATCTTAGTTCCTCGACCAGGGATCGAACCTGCGTCCACTGCACTGGAAGGTGGATTATTTACCACTGGACCACCAGGGAAGTCCCTGATTTCCTTATCTTTAATATCCAAGGTGAAAAGATAATATTGGGCTTCCCTGGTGGCAGAGTGGTTAAGAATCCGCCTGCCAATTCACGGGACACGGGTTTGAACCCTGGTCTGGAAAGATCCCACATGCTGCGGAGCAACTAAGCTCGTGCTTCACAACTACTGAGCCTGTGCTCTAGAGCCCACGAGCCACAGCTACTGAAGCCCAGGAGCCAAAACTAGTGAAGCCTGCGCAACTAGAGCCCATGCTCCGCAACAAGAGAAGCCACCGCAATGAGAAGCCCGCGCACCGCAACGAAGAGTAGCCCCCACTCGCCGCAACTAGAGAAAGCCCGCGCGCAGCAACGAAGACCCAACGCAGCCAAAAATAAATAAATAAATTTATAAAAAGATAATATTTCTATCTTATAAATCAAATAACAGAGACAGAAGTATATTCAAAAGTATAGAGATGACTAGTTGAAGAACTAATAATAATAATATATTAATTAAAATTAGGTGGAGTAAAGGAGATGGGATGGATGGAAGTATAATAATTTTGTCATTGCTTGTAGTGGGGAATAAATAGATATGGTCTAAAGCAATAAAGGATAAAGTATACTTTTAAAAGTTATAGTATAAGGCTAACCACTAGAAGAGCTAAAATCTGAATACAAACCTTCCTAAATTATCAAAAGGAACACATATAAAACATAGAAATATACATCCTCTAGAGAAAGATACAAACCAAATGAATCCTTAAAAACAAAGTAGGTTATAAAATGTGATACAGAACTAAGACATATCTATAAATGTCAATGGGATAAGCTTACCTATTATAAGAAAAATATCTTTAGAAAACAATGTCAAAAAAGTTGAAAATAAAAGATGGTACAGGTATACCAGCCAAATGCAAAGAGAAAAGTTAAGCCACAATGTTATACCAGATGAGGCTGAATTTTGGGAAGTGTGGGGGGGAGCATTAAAAAGGCAAAAAAGAAAAG